GAGCATGTCCCAGAAACAGGCATGAACAGCAGACTCATTGTGTAGCTTCACACCACCCAGCCACTCTTCAGTGTCCATTTGTTCTGTTCTGGTGGGCACTAAATCAGTATTCCGCCCACCTCACGCCACCAAAGGCCATTCAGAAAATGCCTAATTGCTTTACCATTCTCAGAGATCATTTTTGACTGCTCTGTCTTTGATTTAATACAAACTGTATGCTATTCCCATCCACCTGGCACAACTCAAACATGCTCTGCAACTAAAAGATACTGAAAGTGGAGAAGTTTGCTTTCCGTTTGCTGTGTAACCCCATTAACATAATGACCTGTCTCAGAAGTCAAGTAACTTTAACAATATTTGCATGATCTGCCCTTTGCCAGCCAGCCTCAATGCTGAAAAACAGTTTTGGGCACATTTGATTTACTAGCACAGATACAGCCCACACGTCCCATGAAGGACAACAGACAGAGACCATAAACAGCTGGGACAGGCTCAGGACCCTGACTGATCCTCGCTCTCCTAAGCAATAGCCCATTTATCCTCTAACCCAGCCTCGCTCAGTGACGCACAGAATTTGGAAGCTGCTATATTTGTCATGTACCTGCTGGAGACTAGAGTTCAATTATCCTTAAACTCTTATCAGGATCTTTCACTCCTGCCAGCGCTGCCATGGAAATGTAATGCATGTCCTGCCTCAAGGTTTTGGTTCATTTGTAATAAAAATCATCTGGCCTCTCTGAAGGAAAAGGCAATCCATCCCCACTGGGAGACAGTTGAAAAAATAATCTATCCGGATGCCAACTGGATCCTCATCAGAAAGCTTTTGTGCAGTGTTCACAGACTGAACTGTACAAAAAAGGGGGCTGAAAAGTGGGAGATTGGGATGTTGAACTGTTTGCTCGCACTGATTCCAGAGGGTGCTCCAGGCACTCAGCACCTCCAAAAATGGGCCAATATTCAATCTCCCAGTATTTAAAAAAAGTTCCCTTGAGAAGAGAAAACAGGGAAAAACTAGTAATATTACTAATTTTCCTGTTGGCAAATTATAACAAGAATTGGCTGACATGCTGCAACAAGTCTGCCTTTCCAGCTGGAGAGGGTGAGTAGCACTGAGCTTCCTGATGCCTCCCATAGCACTGAGCTCTGCTCCTGAACCAGCCCTAACCCAAAACTCTCCTCAGAACACCTGGGGCCCTACCTTCTTGTTTCAGATGCTGGGATTGTTTTCTCCGATTCCTCATACCAGTGAAAAGAGATAAATCTGTTTAAGGAGGGCTGTTTTTGCCAATGTTTTCCAAGGTTTCTCCTTAGAGATATTTTCTCCTTACTCAAGAAATTACTGGCTTCTGGACAGTTTCTTCTGTAGGTCAATTTTTGTTCAGTGACCTGGCAACACATGCTGAAAAATATATAACAACATTTCCTAATTTGCAGTCAGATCTGTATTACTATCAGGAGCATCTCTAAGTTCCATAGCTTATTCCTTCACTCTTTAAGTTCCCTTTGCAAAACCTTTTTCTTCTTTTTTTTCCTCCAGTTTAAGATAATATGTATTTCAGCTGGCATTGTGCCTCTGATATCACCACAAAACCAGAAATATCACAGTAATTTGTCTTCTGTGGACTTAAGCAGTTCTAAAAAGGAACAGATAAGAGCAGTATCTTTCATGGGAGCCCAGTGCAAAGCTCTATAATTTTGTTTTGTTTTCAACCAGAACACAGAACTCTAGACTTTAAGCTCTGTTCATTCCTATGTTTATTTTTTAATCATATCCCCTCAAATTTCTAAGTATCTGAGAAAACTGATTCAGAATCCTTTTAATACAGACATCATATATTTGGACTGATGAGTACTTGCATACACAGAACTTCTATCTTTTCCCATAGCAAAGATAGCTATAACTCAGTTTTGAGTGTGTATTGTTAAATGAATGCCTTCCTGAACCAGGAGTTTCTGTCATCAGTGGGAATTTAGCTTTTCACATTAAATAAGCTGTTCAGCAAAGAAGCAGGGCTACGTGATTCCTTCATGCCAATGTCAGTGGCAGTTATACATATGTAACCGAGTTATTTTTGTAAGCTTTCATCCACAGTACTTTTCCTCATATCAAAATATTTATGCTGCCTCAGTCTGAGCCAGGCATGTTGCTTCTGAAGATGAAAGGTCAAAAGATATCTGAGAAATATTCTGCAAGTTAGAGAACACTGGACATCTCCACCACAAGGTAAATGAACATTCAAGCAGAAAAGGAGCTGCTATTCCACCTCAAAGTGCAGCTTATGTGTTTGTGAAAATATCATCAGATCAAGAGTGGAAAAAAGCAATGCTTCTCCTTTTCCCTCCCTGTCAGCTTTGCTGCAATGAAAAATATCCACGTGGCTATTCTTATGATTCTCCTGGGGAACAAGCACAGTTTAATTTATAAAATAACTGACAAGAACAACAGGCACGTTTGTCTCTGTCCATACGATTTAAACAGCATGATGTTTAAACAGCATATAGTCCATGAAACTGTGTTCACATAATATCTATTCAGACCTTACAAGCCTTGGCTTAAAGGCCAAATCCATTTGTTTCTCTACAACTCCTCTGTTTGCCACTCACCATGATTAGAGAGGATGCACACACTGTGCATCATACCACTGAGTGATGAGAAAAGCAGCCTCAGACTCCTTATCAAAACACATGCTGAATGAAGGATGGACTTGCTGCAGACAGGCATTGCTTTTTGAGCCCATCTAAACTTTACATGTCATAGGCATTGCTTCGAATCATCTACTAAAGGATTTTCAATGCCTGATGAATGCTCCCAACAGCCCTCCTGGGTGGAACTGAGTACTTCAAGAACAAGGATGTGGCAAACCGTGTTGCAAAATCAAAGCAGCTCTCCCACACCCACTGCAGAAACACAAATGGGGAACCAAAGAAAGGATCCTGTGCACAGGACTTTCTGCTTTCCTTTTAGAAAATAGCTGGACTCTTGGCTCACACATCACTCAGAGCCTGGCCAGCTGAAGACAGTACTAGTGAGATATAAAAAAAAACAAACAACCAAAACAAAAAAACAATCCTCTGAACTGGGGATCCAGTGCTCTCTCATGGATTGTATAACAGCTAATAGAAAAACACTTTATAACATCAGCCATGGCTTACCTGCCTTAGTTTAGCTAGTACATCGCTCAAGTCCTAGCTCTTCCTAGCAATGTGCTCAGTAGCCAACAATCCCTAAGGTGCACCCTTGATTCTGCCCTGCTTTTACCTCTGAACTAAGAGTTCTAGTCTTATAAAGCTTCCTAAATGTTCTCAGGATCTCACTTCAGCAAAGTTTAATCAAGGATTATCCACACCAACTGAACTTTAGAAGACTTGAGAAGCTTTTCTCTCCAGAGGCCAACTCTCCATCATTTAGCCTATAGCCCTAAGAAGCAACTCCCTCCCAAGTATTTCTCTTCTTCTTTGGCTAACAATACCACATGTTCCTCGAGTGAGAAATCATTATTTGATTTAGGATGCTCTGAAATTATAAGCAGCCCACAGTTATTTTAAGTGTATGTTGCATCTTCTTCTCAATGAAGATTAATGTTACACTTACCACGGGGTTATGCCAGGAGGAAACATTTGTGCAACAGCAATTTTTAACACTTTCTTCGGATTGATTTATGTGTTTATTTGTTTTCAACTTTTTGGGCACCCGTAAATGATGTCTTTAGTCTTCAGAGGGTGTACTGACATCGAGTAATTTATGACTGGCTAAAAGCAAGTTTATTGAGGGAAGATTATTTATTGCCTGACCATAACCAAGGTGGCTAGATTGAATGAGCTTGCATAAACTAAGCTGAGTGTAAAGATTTGAAGTCAGTACTTAAAACAATAAATAAAAAAAACAAATGTTTTAAACCCAACAAATAGTGGGTTAAAAAATAGTTTAAACCTGTGTGCTACAGGTACATTGAAGAAGTCATGCTCATAGAAGCCAGAGTTACTGAAATAAAGTATTGATTTTCTGCTGAAAGAACTATAAGTATAAAAGGACAATTAATTTTTAAATGAAGGTAGTGGTTATCTTATTGCTCTCTGGATATAGAAAGAAGCCCATCTGTCTATATCAATCTACAGCATTTCACTTTGTGCTCAGAGGCAGTGAGTTTTTAATCGAAACTAGATTGTTAAGAACATTAGAGTATGATTAAGTGTCCAGACTCCTCTTTTATGGATTTGAACTTCAAACCGAAAGCAAGTTCATTTGACACACACAAAATACATCCCTGAAACAGCATTTCAGCTTCCTTCACCTGGGATTTGGGGTCATTTTTGGCTCGTTCTTCTCTCCAGCCTTCACATCCTAACTCTCAGTTTTTCCACACCAGCATCTCAGTCTCACCATCTCTGTAGACATCCTGAAGACAATCAGGCACTGTTACTGCTTCAGTTTTAATTACCACTACCTCCTCTCTTACAGCATGCACAGATGTCTTGTCCTACAACTGTCTGCTCCAAATAGTACCAGAAACTTCAGTTAGCAAAACTGGGTGGGGAAATGTGTTTGTCACCCAACAACTTTTTTTTTTTTGATTGAAATTATTGTGTGTAAAAAATACCATCCCCAATCAGACTGAAAGATCAAATTCATTGTTCTTAAAGTGTTGCTGTATCAGCTCAGATCAACCATATTAAGTTACTGAAATGTTTCACTTAGATTCTGACCATTTTTAAAGAAAAACAACTAAAGAGGCAGACTCAATTAGCAGTATCAATTCAGATCTGGTTCATCTTTCACTATGGATTAAAAGCATGGGTGTTGCTTAAGAAATAATGTAACTTTGGGCTCAAACATTGCTCTCTGTACATCATAAATGTTCAGTGATTTTTGCCAGAAAGTCCCACCTCGCATCTGACTGTATGATTGCCTCAGGCTGTCACTGAAGTGAGTCCCTACTGCTTAATGACTCTAACGCCCACATCCTGCGTGATGTGCAACTGTGATTTTTTTTTTTTTCCAGAACACACCGGTGACAAGAACTGCTTCCAGGTCTGGATGGACATGAACCTGAGTGGAGCCTGAATGCAGCTGAAACCACACTGACTAACAAAACTTTTAAAATATGACTACAGTAAGGATTTTAACTCCACAATGCTGCCATGCCAGGATGTGACAGGCTTTCTACCCAGGTCTGGAAGGTAAGAATCTGCTTGCATGTATGAAATTATATAGCTTCCATTCCCTCTGCACATTTATTGTTTTGGGAAAAGAGCAGAGGATATTAAAGAAGTGTTTTGAAATGTATTCTATGGGTTGAGATGAGTGGAAATATAATTAACCAGTGTAAAAACTGGTACGGTTTAGACAAGCGCTCTGCACTACATGGTACATTATTAGCTTGTGTTTAAAGTGACAGTGCCAAGATTTTCAGGTCTGGGGAAAAGAAAACATCTTTGAAAGTACTTTACCTTGGTATGAATGAACATGAAATTCAGCCACACCAATCAGCACAAGCATTATATAGAAGGTGTAACACAGCTAACATACAAAAGAGGATGCCAACATTAAAAAAAATAAATGAATATATCCTTTCATCTGTGGCAGTCCATGCGAAAAGTGCTAGGAAACAAAGGCGAAGACCAAATGCTTGGGACAGATTCTCCATTGAGTTGCATGAGTTCTTCATCCCCAGGCCACAGTCCCTGCCTGTTATACCACACAACTCATGGACCACAGGATTTCCTGACTGCAGCAGTGGTCAGACAAGAAGCAGGGGGAGCAAGAGCCACCACACCAGATGATGCCAACCCCTCTGAAGAGATATAAAGGTGCCTGGTCCTGGCCAGGAAATCCACATGGAGCCAGGTGCACACGGGCACTTTTGGTACTGAATTACCCTGACCACTGCAACAAGCTGGCACAGCTCCATCCCTGGGGTGCTTCAGCTGCAGGGACAGAAATTTCTTACATGAGTCACTGCAAACAAAGGCTTTGGGCTGGGATCAGGCCACCAGAGTTTATAGGTGGTCTTGTCTAGATGCAAGAAAGTAGTTCTGTAAGTGGTTATCTGTGATGCCCATCTATTGTTAGAGAGATTATATCAAAACACCTCGGGATCTACAGAGGTGCAGACACTTGAAAGACTGCTAACCTGCTTAATAAATTTGAGTCTGATCTTCATCTGATGGCTTTTATTAAACCAAATGGTTTTCAACAAATCTGAAGAAATTAAAAATATTATTCTACAGCTGGGTACTCACAACCTGGAAAAAAGTCATTTTCTAAAATTCAGCTCTTCAGAGAAAACTTGATCAGTCAAGTGTGAACATTAATAATTGTTTCTGCTAATCTTTTTTCTTTTCCCCTCCCCACACATATGCTGTCAGCATCACCAGTAGTACTGATAAGAGCAAAGCATCCAGCCTACTAGTCTACAGCAGGAAAAAGAACTGTTTCCAGTAGAACTATGCTGGCCTGATGGATTTCACATGCAAAACTGGTCTGCTAATGCACCCAGCACATCCCCCGTGGCTGAGAGCACTAGTGGGATGTGCGGGCAGGGCCTGACTCAGTTTCAAGATAACCATTCCTGGTGAAGGTGTGAAGACATCTGAGCAAATAACTGCTTTGTAAGTGTCCCTCTCTTGCTGGTCTGATCCCCAGAGGCCTGATCTAGAGCAGCAGTATGTTCCAGCAGCAATAAGTGAATTTGGAAACAGCAAACTGACGCAACCTCACGCCAGTACCTAGACCTGCTCAGTGCTAATGGCTGTCCCTACACTGCCAAGCATGCTGAAATGGGATTGCAGTAACTAACAGTGCAGAACACCACCAAATGCCTTCTGACAACTGATCTGCCATGCGACTCGAGCACGGGCATTACACTGGCACTGCTCTGACAGGCTGGGTCTGCAGGGGAAGCCCTCCCCTCCCACAGTGCTGCTGCACAGACAGATCCAGGTGAGCAGCCAAGCTGTCAGTGAGACTGACACAAAGCCAGGCCCTTCTGGCCAGCCCCAAGAAATATGTTTTCCATCTCTATTGACTTAATGCAGAATAATAGCCACATCATAGAAGCCTTCCGTTTATGGGGAGAGCAGAAAGACGACGTACAATTTGTCTAACCACAAGTTTACAACACTGAAAATGTTGACATTATGACAAAATATATTAACTTAAGCCTGAAAAAAATCAGACTCAAGCTGTCACTAATTTCATGCGTAAACTACAAATCAGATGCCATATGCTTTCACTCTGATCTCTAAAAGCTTTCTGCCTGGCATGTCCTTTCCTTTCAGTAGGAGAGGGGGCTGCATGATAGCTCAGGTGTTTCATAGGAAACGTCCAGACAGTCCTATGAGGAAAGGAGCACTTTAACCACATCTCCCATGAGACTGTGATGCCCTTTGAAAAGGTATTCAGAGGGTTGGATCTCCCAATGAGAACTCAGAACACCAAGGTGTTTTTTTTTTTAAGGTACATTTAATTGAAAATGTAACTTTTCAAAGATTATTACTGATGGAAATTTCCGGGTAGTTCTGAGTTAACTTAGTGTGAAATAACAGCACGTGGTACAACAGGCAGAAAGTCAGAGGGAAGAATCAGATCCATTCCTGTGGGACCTTCACAAGAGTACTGAAAAGGACAAGACTGCATTAGTAGTTTAACAAATTTTTTCTTCTGCTCCACAAGAAAAAGCATCCACACTTAATACTCAGCCTTGCTGAAAAAGTCTTTACTTTTACTAATTAACTAATTCAGTTTTAAGTTATAATGTAAGGTCTCTTGGTTAGCAAAATAGGTCTAAGAGACTCTGCAGAATTGTTTTCTCATTATCAGTGCTATTTTCTCAGCACTGGAGACTCTGCTGGAAACTATGAAGTCTCCTAACCAACCGGTGACCAAAATTCCTCGAAGCCCCCAAACCTCAATGAAAATCTGTGAATTTTTTTATCCATTCCTTGAATCCACTCTTCCTCAAACACAGCCCAGAATCACAATAACTGCTAATATCCAATGGTGGTGACTCCTGCAATAGATTTCAACCCAATTTGGCTTCCAGGTTCTTCTGGAGCAGCAGCAGGATCTTCTCCTATGGCAACTCATGCCAGCAACACCAGTAAGAGTCCTCTCTGTTATTAAAGACCTCTAGTCAGGCCAGGTGAGCATCACAAATCTTACCCCACTCCCCAGAAACTTCTTTGTAAGCCTAAACCTGGTCTGTCCTAAGGGTCGGATCACTAAATACACAAAAATATCTGCTTGGTTTCATGCACTTTTGTCTCATCAGCATCTTTCAACTCCCTGCTGCAGGACTGGCTGTTGCAGTAATTTCTGTGCTTTCAGGAAATAGAAATCTGCCATCCTTGTGCTTTAAATAGACTAGAGAGCCCAGCTGAATTATACTTGTTTGTAGGAGCTGGGAGTTGGCGAGACTGGAAAACAACTTGAAAGGAAGTAAATTATGAGAGCAAGTCTGTGATTTTTATTTTATTTATTTTTTTTTTAAACAGAAGGTCCTCAGTTCACCCTGGGAAAAATTCTCAGGGCATAAGAGTTCAGTAGCTGCTGGGACACCCACAGCTGGCACAGCAAGATGGTACAAGAACACAGTGCTACAGCCAGATGTGAGTTGCTACTGGAACAGCCCTGCCAGCAGCATCACATCCCTGGAAATGGAGCAGGGCAAACTTGGCTGTGTAGACCAAGCCTGTGCCTGGGATTTCCTCACTGCATTAATGCAGCTATAGAAAGCAACTACACCATCCGATACCCAAGTTCCACCCAATTCCCCCTGTGGTTTAATATCTTCTCTTCCCATCTCTCTTCTCTAAATTAAACAGGGATCAGTTCTCAGATTGGTTATTTGCTTTGATGTGACAGACATGGTGGTTTATTTTAAAGAGGCATTCCATGTTCTTACTCTTTTACAGCAGAAACCCTCAACAATTCTACCCCCCAACTTGACCAGGGGTGGATGTCAGGAAGAGTTTCCCCATCCCTGGGCAGTGACTCATTCATTCTGTGAGTCAGCTCAATTCCTCTCCCCATCATCATCATACTGAAGCAATCTGGGGTACCAGCTCACACACTACCCAGCAGCATCCCTGCAGAAAGGTGCCTCCGCTGAATCGATTCTGCTTATAGATTCAGATGAGGTCAGAAGAGACCTTCAGCAATGCACACATCTGCATTAAATAAAATAACCCATGTAGGAATCACATAATCAACCACAGCTCTCTGGGTGATAAAACACACTCTTAAAAGGATATTGCTCCTAAAAGTAATGGATTGCCAAAAGAACCTATGAGTAGCAGAGATTAAACATTATGGAAAATAAGTACGCATAATTTTCACTTTGCTTTGTGCCAGTGAGAGACAGGAAGTGTTTGGACAGAGGGAAAAATTGGGATAGAAACAGTCTGTTCTGCCATTTGTCTGGTCTTCCACATTAACAGAGGAGAGGAAATATTTTTATGACTAGGAAATAACTGAGATGAGAACAGTGTCTGGACCTCTTAAGAGATATTTCAAGTGGATAGTGTTCATTCACCACTGTTCCTTTTTCTTTTAACACCTGTTTCTATTGTCTAGCATCTTAGCAAGAAAAATTCATGGACTAAATGAAGATGGAGATGAGGATTCTCCTACTCACAGCTATGCTAGCCAAGCCATGACATCCCCAGCAGGTTTATTTCCCTCCAAGAACACATCAGATATTCCAGATATTGTTTCCAGTTGTACCCAAGGTTCCTCATGCTCAGGGCAGCACTCACCAGTGTCTAACGCTGTTTTGCAGGTGGTCGATGATGTTAGCAGCAAATATAAACCCAGATGAGGAGCGGCAAAAGCAATGGAAGGACCAACCCCAGAACCCGTGTACGTTGATGTGGACAAGGGACTGACACTAGCATGTTTCGTCTTCCTCTGCCTTTTCTTGATTGTGATGATCATTCGCTGTGCAAAAGTCATCATGGACCCGTACAGCGCCATCCCTACGTCTACCTGGGAGGAGCAGCATCTCGATGACTGAAAGGACTTCACTAGACTGAGCCATAAAATGCTGCAATCCAGGAGGCCTTTCCCTACCTGGAAGGCAAGCACAAATAGCCATTTTCAGACATGCAGGGCAACTGCAGTATCTTTAAGAGCACGTAGATCAGATGATTCTTGCTCAACAGATCAGGATATTGGCAAGCCATTCTCACAGCACAGTTAATACTATGCAGCAACACATTTTAATGAAAACAGCGATCATTGTATCTCAAGTAGCACAAGACTCTCCAGACTTCTGCTGTAGCAAAGTTTGCCCTCTCAATATCTCCCACAAATCCAGGGCTTTGTTCAGAAAACAGAATTTGGAAAAGCAACAAGAATATTTTATCTTCCCTGAATGTTTGCTTCAAATAACTTCAAGTCATTATATTTGTTTCAAAAAAGGGACAGGTTTTGTATCCCAGAGTAGAAGCACTAAAACACCATAGCTAAGGAGGGTGCTATGATCAGATTTATTCTCAGATAACTTGGTTGTTGGCATACACTCCATACAAGCAGTCACATTTCCAGTGATCAGAGTACAGAAGTACTCAAACTACAGTTCCTAAGAGGTCATGGAGTATGGTTGACCCTGCAGCCTCCCCTTGCTCTATCCTGCTCCTGGAAAACACTAGATGTTTTGTCACCTGCCATAGGTCTATGGATTAACCAGAAGTACTAGACCACTTGCAATGATCTTGATAGACATCAGAAATTCATTGAGCAGAACTTGGACACCACTGGCTTCAACTACATAGAGCGTGCCCTGATTTTCAAAGAGCAATTCCACATGATACTTCATTGATCTTTCCTTTCAGGCACAATTCAATGGGATCACACACAGATTAAAGACAATAAGCAAAGACATGGCTCCTAGCTTTGTCAGATTCTTTAGCATAACAGGTACAGTAGCATACAATAATACGCATTCTACCTCGAACAACTTCAGCACCTTTAAAAGAATTTTTCCACAAATTTGTAGGTTGATTATCTGTACATTTCCTTCTCTCACTCCATTAAGAAAGCCATTATGAAAGAAGGCATAAATAAACAAGGGAGCTTTGGAAGTTTATTATTTACCTTTTGAAGAGTGGTGTTTGAGGGATTCCTGTGTCGGATATTCCTCAAGTTCTAAGGTTTGACAACAGCCACCTTTCCTGAGTACATGTTGGGCCTAATAGATTGTAAACAGTTGCTGAAGCAATAAGGAATAGGTACTATAACTACAAGTATCATGCATAGACAAGACCTGAAAGCACAAGTTTGTAAGAAGGGCATTTCACTTCTTTACCATCCTCAATGACTTCTAGATTTTTGCCATAAGATAAGGTACAGTGGTTGAGAAAGGCAGAAACAAAGGTCAGAGCAAAGGATTAGGATGTAAACTTCGTAGGTTACTGCTCTCAGCTCTGACAGATTTGTTTGGCCACCATACACAAGTTTTTCTGTGCCTCTGTCTACTCACTTGTAAAATCAGTACAATAACAGTAACTTGTCTCACTTTTGTCTGTATCGTACCACCATAAAAAGCATTTGGACAGCCTTGGACATGAAAATAAGATATTGATTTACAGGTCTTCCCTGTAAAACTAAAGGGGGAGAAGGTCCAAATCTCAGTATACAGCAAGTGAAGTTCTCCCCAGGCATAGAACTTGTCCAGCCCTCCATTCACTCTCATTGAGACTGGAATATCCCCGGTCATGCCAATGGCAACTGGCTTTATTGCCTATTCCAATGATTTCTGAGGACACTGGAGGAAAGGTGCTCAGCAACGATTAAAGAATAGCAGGTGGTGAGGTACATGGAAAATTTTGCATGCATCTTCTGCACTAGGCTCAATCACACAATTTCTGGTTATCTCTGTTCTAGGAGATCCCATTCAGGAGGCAGGAGATTTGAGGATCAGCTTTTATCCTGCTATTCTCTAACAAGAGACCTCTGCTGCTTCAGTTACCCCTGCAGTTTGCTCATCAGGCTGTTATTCAGCCTCAGTTTCTGATAGCCAATTAACCACCAGTAATTGAATATTTTCACAAGTGTGAATGCTAATGTTCACCATAATTTGAGAAAATATGGTCACCTCTTATTCATGAGCGTGCCTATCTATAGCATAGGAACTGATGCCCTAGCTCAAAGGAGATTGTTTCTGTCCTCTGGGCTAAAGTTTAGAATCCATTTTTTGTCACTATCCCACTTTCATGCTAGTGAGGGTACAGAATAAACCTGTTTCCAGGTTAGAGACACTTCCATTTTTTCAGGTTACCTGGCTACTTGAGGAGTACCCACATGCTTTGCTGTGCATCATCAATAAGCCCCTGTTCAGCTAAGGACTTATGCACAGGCTTAAGTTGAAGCCCCTGAGCTGGCTGCCTGACTACCCAGGGACAAGGGTCAGCCACACGCCGTGTCCTTAGCTGGACAGGGACAGTAACGCACAGCCCTCGTAGGAACAAAGCCTGTATGAGAACAAACCGTGACAAATGCTGGGGAGGCAAATTAACAAGTTAGCATCACAGAAGTATTTGCCGTTATTTCTATTTCCAGCTAATGCAAGCCAATTTTTTTTCCCCCCAAAAAAATATTTTAGAGGAAGGATCCCCCTGGGTAGCTCAATTTTCTAAAAAGGCACTTATCTTTCTGATATCACCTATCAAGTCCTGTTCATGACTGTCTAAACACCAACAGGATTGTTTTTATCAAGATAACATAACCCTATCCTAATTTCTGCCTTCCACCAATGATTACAAACACAACCTCACCACTCTAATTTAAAGCAATACTGAACATCATGGCAAAAGCAGAAGTTTCATCCTGCTTGCCTTTGAGTTGGGAGCTGCCCACCCAAGACATGTTCATTACTCCAGCTCCTGCCAAACCTGAGCCTGTGAGCCCGGTTGGCAAAGCTGTGTTCCCGGCCAGAGGAAGCTTTGTGTTAGCAGGGGGCTGCATCACTGGGCTTGGCAGTAATTTTGGCTGCATGTAACAAGTGCCTCTGCTAGTTTTATTTTTAATCATTATGCCATACCACCAGCAATTGCACTCAGAGGAAATAATGCAAATTTACTGCAAATGTATTTACCTAATGCAATAAACAGCTTCTACACTGAAAGACTGCGTCAGTTGTGGTTTGTGCTGCTTGCCAGGATCTCATGCATGGAGAGCACGGAGCATCTGTGGGGTCTCTCTGAAGAAAGCACAGAACAAGGGGCATGCTGAGTGAAAGGCACCCAGGGCACTCCTCTTGAGAAAGATGGAGAGGGAAACTGCTATTTCTCTCACCTCGTGAAAGGACTCAGCTGCCTCAAAGCTGACCCCTGCAGCAAGTTCTCTGGCAGAGGGATCTTCGTGCCCACAACCCAGCTTGCCACAGAGATAAACCCACTGATAAATCATTAACCATGTCCTAGTCAAAAACAGACTGGAGCCCCCATGCTGCTTTCAGAGCAGCTACTAGGGCAAGTAAAAGATCAGACCTGAACTGAAGCCAACAGTGGCTGAATTTGGGCAGACACCCCAGAAAACAGTGAGCATAAAACTTTTTTTTTTTTGAAAGAAACAGGGACCAGTGCCAACCAAGAACCACACAAACACTGCTGCAGCATACAAAGGTGTCCCCAGCTCACTGGGCACTTGAGGGTCTCAAAGGGTAACTTCAGTCCACACAGCTAGAGCTCAGAAGCGGGACTTGGAGGGAGAAAACACCGTGCTCAGACTCCAGCAGTCTCCACAGCACGCCTGGGGAGGTGAGCACAGAAACCCTGCCTATTGACCAGCCTCACTTTATCAGCCATCACTGGTGCCCCAGAAGAGAAAAGGGGAGCATGAGATGAAGGCAGTGCCTTTTCCAGACAGCCACAAATTCAACTTCCCCAGAACCAGACTGATGCTGGCCCCTTGCATTATCTGCACACAATCCCATTAGTACATTCGGGCCATATTCAGTGCATTCAGCACCATCACAACAGCTTCAGCTGAGCTGCTCATGCTGTGAAAGTGCTGCCTAATGCAGGCTGGACAATTTAAATTCCTCTTTTCCCCTGCCTCCCATCGCTGTCTCTGACCCTGTCAGCCCAGATTTGCCAGCCTTCAAACCACTTGTCTTAGCTGTCCTGTGGTTTTACATCTCGGGTGAATTGATTTAAATAAAGGATATTAAATCCTGAATTTTAACCATGTCTTAATGCAGCCATGGGAATTCTTGATTTCAATCTACATTACTTTGCATTTGCACTTAAATATATTTTCTTTAAAAACAGTTAATACCCTCTGGCCAGCATTCTTTTTTGCTAACCAGGAGAAAAACAGTGATCACACATACATTTTTAAAACAATGCACAGCTTAAAACCCCTAGATGCATTTATGCTGAGGGTTCAACTCAGTCAGTTCACAGCAGTATTAGGAAATGTTAGTTGCAAAACTCTGTGTTAATGACTGGGACTTGGCCAGGCAACTCAGAAGAAAATCAGAAAACAGTAAAAATACATTAAAAAACACATTAAACATGCTGAATCCATAATGAAAGAGAACTTCATTAAAATTTATTTTATATTTAAAAGTAAATGGATTTTTCAAGCAGCAGCCATGCTACTCATAGTAAGTTTGTATAGGGCAAGATGGGGCCAGTGCTTCAGCATGTTCTTCGCATACTTCCAAAGACTTCCAAAGCTTTAAATCAATTTTAAGGTTCCAGAAACACTCTCCATCTCTCTCACTAAGCAGTGACCATGTGAGCATCCTGGACAGAAGCTGCAATCAACCCTGAAAAATGGCCTCCCATATTCCTGCTTAAGGCCAAACCTATGTGAATATCATTATCAGCAGTGCCCATTTTAGCAAAGTCACTACCTTGACCCTGAACAGCCACTGAAAAAGCATTATACTTTGAATAATTACTGCCTGGTTAATAAAGGAATTAAGAGTATTGCTGACCTAACTGCTTTCATCAACACTGATGTTTTTCTCATCATATCGCATCAATTTCTAATTAGAACCTCTGCAGAAAAATATTTTTGGTGAAAAAGGCCAGTATTTCACACTGGAAATCCAGTGTTTTGTTTAAATTCAGAACTATGCTTTAGGGTTTTATTCTGCTCTTTTCTTTTGGCACTCAATTATACCACAGCGCTATCATAAATTATACCCAGCTCTTTCATTACACACCAACCAGCTGACACTTTGATCTAGAAAAAGATGCATCTTAAACAGTATCAACCAGAAGCTGCCCTTAGCTTTTTTTAACAGCAAAATAAAACCAGATGGATTAAGGTACAGGAATGTGATTCACTGTGTCATTATAAGGCAGCATGATCCCAAGGCACCCCTATGCCCTTCCATCCAAGGTGTCCCCACTACTCACCCCCAGGATGGCAGTGGGGAACTCCCACGAAACACTCACCAGCATGGAGGGAGCTCCAGGCAAGCATTGAAGCTGAGGTTTCCATCAGCTGTGCTTTTCCCTCTCCTCTGCCCAGGGAAGCAGCAGCTCCCTTCTCATGCAATATTGTAAAGCTCCAAACAAGGCTGCCTGGATGGGTTCTACTTTTCCTCCAGGCCTCTGAAGACACAAGGAGGAATTTCTTCTCCTACATCCAGGTCATAAACGTGGTGTTATGACACAGCAGAGGAGCAGGAGCTCTGGGTTTGACTTTTTTCCTTTCATTGTTAGAAGCCAGTATACAAGAAACCTAATGAAAACAGACTTATATTGAATTAAAAGTAATAAACTCTGGAAGCAAAGAGAGCCATGCTCAAATCTAATCTAAGCAACAGCTTCCAGAAGCACAGAGGAAGCTCTCTGCAGAGAGGGACAAGCCATTTCAAATGTCCCTTTAAAAAATAAACTCCTCTCAGCACCAGGCCTGCACACTTTGCTGAGAGTCCCCAAGCACCCTCATGCTCCAAGGGCCTCACATTGAAGCCTCAACTTCCTTCCACTCCTGCAGATGCCTTCCCTAAAAAGAAAGGAGGCTTCCAGCACCCTCAGCTTTTAAAGGCTGAGCCCACAAAGTGGACACAGCTGCCCTGGATGAGGCCAAGTCCTCACTAGGTGCCCAGAGCACCTGGGTGTTTTCCAGAGCTTTCTTTGTGGTACTATGGTGCCTGTAGCATTGCTGGTTCCTTAGCAAGTGAAAACAATGCAATTTTTGGGACGTTGCCATGCAGATATACCCTCACCTCAGGCAGGATGCCCTGGCGGGGGGGGGGACGGGGGGGTATTGGTACTGTGGGCGGCCTAGGCTTGCTGGGCCTGCTCCCCGGCCCCACAGTGCGCACCAAAACCAGGCTCATCTCTTTCTCCTGAAGGTGAAACGTCACCTTGGGCATAAAAAACATTTCTCTTCTTTTTTAGCTTCTGTGGGACTGTGGCATCATAACAAAGCCACAACGTGGGGCAGCCACAGCTTTGCATCAAGGACAGCATGAGTTATTTCTACATCCAAGAGGGAAGGTGTCAATTTGTGGTTGTCCTTTGGGGTCAAAAGAGAGCATAAAGCATCCTATCAACTGACAACCGAGTCAGAGTACAATAAATTAAATATCTATCTAGTAGTCCAATTCAGGGAATCCACAAGAGCTGGAAGAAAAAAAATACTTTTTCTTGATAAACAAATAGCCACTGTTTTCCTGGCCAGGCCATCCCTTCTGGTAACAGTGGAATGTCTTTGGCTAAAATTTTAAGTGGATTTAGGGGTGATCCTCCCAGTATCATGCTTGGAAAGGACCATTATTATTGCACACTGAGGCTGCCTGGAAAAGAGCCCGTTTCAGCAAACACACCCCGTTGCAATGATTTATCCACTCTGTCACATTTTTTCATTAATCTTCATTCCAAATTCGCTTTTCTCTCCTGCCTCGCCAAGGGGTCACATTCCTGATGAGTACTGGATGCTCCCCCTGGATGACATTAAATATCGGCATGGCTTGATGCCATATTGCCTAGGCTTTGAAGCGGATGGGCCCATACCCTCTCCTACAGGGAGCTCCACAAACAAGACTTTTGAACTCAAAAGCTCCATATAGCAACCCTCCTGCTGCCCACCAACTCCAGCACAAGGGGCTTCTGGCTCTTGGGATGCAGCTGCAGCTATAGGTGACGATGCTGTGTGGGCACATTGCCCAAAATTACCCGCAGGCCTCAATAGGAGCAACCGGGCAGCCATGGAAAACAGCTCATCCTATTGTCCCTGCATGAAGCCAGCAGCCTCATCAGCCCCTTCACTTTGAGGAACAAGCAAATATTTAGCGAGTTTCCCTTGCACCGTACCAGAGTTCATTATCTGGTCTCCCGAGCTCCTTCAGTCAGTAATACCCTCTAATTGATGTGATCTGGCACTCGGCCACGGAGTTAAATTGATTTGTAGGCCAGCAGGACGTGGCAGATGCCCTTTACACTTGAGACAAGTGTTGTGTGGCTTTGTTTGCTGCCTGCTGCAAGGAGCTGCCATGGCACTGGGTGGCACAAAGGAGGGGGGCAGCCTCCTCCATGTCATGGCCCCTGGGGGGTGACAAGGTGGGACAGCCACTGCTGGGTGCCTGGGGACAGCACCAGCTTCCCTCCCTAACACCAGGGAAGCTGGTGCACAGCCTTTGGTACAGCACAATTTCTTTTCACTCTGTTTAAAAGGTTGTTTAGTGCCTCTTTGTTTTGCCTTCTTGTGCTTTCAGTTGCATCGATGATCACATTTCCCAATTGCTTTGTTATGTGTTAGTTGAGGGCATGCTCCTGTAGCTCTTCTGTTCGGGGGGGTTCACAAGTTTTTAGCATCCATCTGAAACTCACCTTCATCAGAAGATGAACACTGGAGAAACCAGAAGTCAGCATTCGATCTCTGCTGGTATTATCAACCCAGTGCTCTGAATATTTAAGTTTATTTGAAGTCCTTTTTATAGCTGCGATAAAAATATTAATACAGAAGAGATAAAAATCTCACTTTCTCTTTAAATCACCCTATTCTCATTCCAAGAACATTAAGCTAGCATTGAAAACCTTTTCTTACCACACCACAGAGCCACATTCATCTTGAAGATATTTATTGATAATTAAAAACAGTAAGATTCCAATCACTCATATAAAAATAATAAATCTGAGTTAAGCAGCACGTCTGTTA